GCATTCTTCCAATATAAAAAGTATCACCAAAAGACAAATCGACAGACGTGGCAACATGTATAATATCTGCAAGTAGAAAATTGAGATGCGAAAAAGCATCAAGCGCAAATCCTGGAATAAGAAACTTTTCCAAAGAACCTGTAGAATTTCACTCAGAGTTAATAGTTTGATTTTCATCTACTGTACACGTTAAAGAAATTTACTACGAAAATTTGATAATGTAATAACGTAGGACATTTATTATTTACTATGAAATTTAGAAAATGTATTATTTCTATGAAAGAGAAATAAGTTATTATGTAAAACCATTTAAATAGGCTAGCAATTATCGGTGATAATATTCAATGACGCAAACTGTCAGATTCTTGGAATAAATACTCAAAGAAGGAATATCTACAAATTAGAAGATTTTTAATCATTTCTCCTCCAAACAGACAATAAAGACACAGATAGTTCCACAAGAGATAAGTGCGATAGAAGAAATTTTTAGTATAAAATTTACGGTTACATCTGGTCTTTTCTATTGCAAATTGATGAGACGTTCCCGCCAATCAAGTACTGCACTTAAATTCATAAAGCTTATGTATCACAGATTCAAGTTCATCAGAGCAAGTACCATGGAAATATTTATAGAAAAGATACAAGGAATATGAATTACGGCGGGATAAAAGAGACTAAAACCTAGATGCCTAGGTCAGGAGCAATAACATTGCGGATGCATCTTTGTATTCTATCACAAATGTCAGCAGAATCACCAGACCAGATGTGACAGACATATCCAAATCAAGAACGTATGGTAGACTTAAAAATATAAAGATTTAGCAAGAATGGAAATTGTAGCACCGAAATAAAAAGGCGCAGAAAAATTACGAAAGATTCTTTAGCAAGATCCTGCATGAAACAGGAAAAAATTCGTTAAAAAGCAAAAGAAAGATGTGCTGTACTCCTATGTAATACCAAATCTCCTATATGCCAGTGAGTGCTGAAGGATTTATTCACGGGAAACTTGAGGCAACAGATATGTGGTTCTCAAGAAGTGTTCTGCGAATACCATCGATAGAGAATGTCAGCAAAGAGTAAATTTTCAGAAAACTATGAGCAAAAATATATACTTGAATCAGAAAGCGATATTTGAGATTTTAAGGACTCCTAATATGGAGGGCAGAAATAGACGCCTTATTAGGAAATTCAAGAGAAATTCACACACACGGGACATATTAAAGGCAATTTTTTTGTAAATAGATAGCATCAGAAATCGTAGCAGGAAAATAATAAACAAACAAACATTTCGAAGAACTTCAAAATATAAGAAATTGTTAAGATATATTATCACACACATGCTGAAAGGACACAGAAAAATAATAACTTCAAAATGAAATAGAAAAAATAGCATATAACAGAAAACGCTATCAGGTTTAATTGTACTCTTAATAGGTTGTTGACTCATTAGATAAGGCTGTAGAATTTAAATCACAAAGTGAAAAAAAGTTTAAAATGACATTATATAAACGTTTTTGAGAACATGAACGATTGAACTCGTTTGACTTCTCAAAAGCAGAAAGAAAAGAAAAATTAAAATTGGTTGATAGATTTTTTATCTTTTCATCAAGTCTTTGAGCGTTATTTAAAGACAAAATATGTTTTTGATTATAAACTTATCAATGCACAAATATCAATCGAAAAAGACAGAGATAACTAGGGATAGAAAGTAAATTGATTCGGCGAAAAGAGACTCTCACTCTCTCGTGTGTTCTTCCTCAAAAGTAGGTCCATAAAGGCTATTGTTAAGGGCCAGTCATCAGAAAGCCTTATGAACAATTATAACATTCTACAGGTTTCTCTCTTCAGTTCTACTCACTTTCGACTATATATATATATATATATATATATATATATATATATATATATATATATATATATATATATATATATATATATATATATGATCATACGCAATCATTAGCGAGTATCTATGAGGAGATGTAAAAGTTTACAGGTGAACCGACAAAAATCTCGAAGACCAGGACCTAACAACTCATCTCCCAATTTACCTCGACCAGCTGACTCAATGGGGAACGTAATGGCATGGAAAATTATATACAGCCAAAAAACAAACTAGTAAATTTATATCACCAGCGAGCAACCCCTTAATGTTCATATATCTTGATTCATGGGTGATCTCAGTTAGGCTCCTTGCCTTGAGTGCCTATTGGGACTCTAGCTCTCTCCATGGCTCCAGTAAAACTCTTATATCCGATCTATTACGAAAGATGTTGAAAATAGTTAGTTCATAAAGTTGGTTCATAATGGTTGGTAAAGTTATAAATCTGTCCCCGACATGATTCCATTGGTTAAATTATGATAGACAGGATTCTGAAGACTTGCTTGGCAACAAGTCTACTACAGAAAGTAACAGCAGCCTATCCCGGGAATTCCACTGTCAAATCAAACAGGGATAGAAAAGAGACATGATCGCCGAAGCATGCATCATATATAGCAACTTAGGAAGGAAATTAGTAAATTTATATCATGCTGAATGTCGAGATTTCAACATTATCTGTCCACAAGATAGTATATGTCTTGTGAAGACTCCAATAACGAATCATTTCAAATCTCAGCAAGTTTACAACAAGGAGGAAATGAGGATGCTAATCTATTTAATGTCATCCTCGACTTATGCTCTACGCGTAGACAAATAGATATGAGAAGAGACTGGAACTGATTATTTATCATTCGATATCATATCGCAAATGAATTTGCACATTTCTAGTTTTTCTCCTCCAGAGCGCTGTCTGCTGATGACAACAAGGCTACCAAGCTGATGACATTTATTCATAGCTGGATATGAATTTTCTTTTTTTTTTTTTCTCAAAAATCAACATGTGTTCCAAGAAACATTAATTTGTAACCGGTATCAAAGCAGTGATAATGCATACTCTAAGTCTATCGCAAAAATCCAGGATGTAGACATAAAAATCACTAAAGACTTCAAATACGCCGGTGTATAGATCAGTTACAACAAATTTAGTATAAAAACCTGAAGAAATATATTTTGCATTAAACATATTCAAGTGAAAATATACTAAGAACAAAATGCTATTTATGAATCACCACAAGTAAAATATGCAATATTTTACTGTATTCGGTAAGTAAAAACTATGTATAAAATTGTAAAAGATTAAAAATTCTACTCAATGAATAAGCTTGTTAAATCATTTGTTAGATCATAATTAATACAAACAAAAACTAGATATGTATATAACATCATAATATTTTAAATTTACATTATTTATTGAAAATCATACTAGAACTACTGCACTCTATAACTTAGCATATTTTCCTATAACTCGAGGCGGGATAATGGTTAGCATGCGTGTCTCGCTATGACAATTATAGCTGAGTAGTGAGTTCGATCCCCTGCGGTTGCCCGCATACTTTCGGCCTTGTGCCACCTCTACGTTACAATAGCTAAAGTGTTCTTTATGATTTCCCTTTAATTAAATAAATATCTTATTTGATGGCACCATCATTTAGTAATAATATTTTTTTGCCATGCTTCTTGTCCAATTTTTAAAGCTTCAGTAAATTATAAAAGTTATAAGTCTGCGATGTAAGACTTTCACTGACAACAAGAATTAAATTCCAGACCTACGATTTTGAACTTAAACTTAATTTTTAATCTCGTTTCCTCAAAAACAGAAACAATTTTGAGAATATTTTGTGTGTTCATTTATTATTTCAAACCCCCAAAATACTATGTTTCTAAGATCTACCAGCACTAATGCTCTATATTTCCAGCCTTGTGCTACATCTAAGCTATGCTTAGCAACCACCATAGTATACGAATAGTAGTTTCTATTACTTAGATGTCTTTAACATGAATCTAAATTTTAAAAGTATTCTATATTTCTTCTGTCAGATATTTAAGAACATTCGTAGATATAATTTGAGATAATTATAAAAAGAACATGTCTGCATTACTTTCCATTATTTTATTTACAACCTTTCATTTGTAATCATAATGCAGTCGAAGTAGAATTGACAATAGCGGAAGAGAAAATGCAGCAAAGAATAAGTAAACAATTCTTGAGAGAACGTAATTACCAACTTACAGGAACTGGTAATTATCCGGTGGTAATCAAATAAGAAGTGCTATACAAAAGTTAGCCCCACCTGAACAACGCAAAAAGAAACAAAATCAACAGTTTCTACTTGTTGCCAGATCGCGAGAGCGCCTTCTCAATTGATTCGTTCCTAATTTATTTAATAGCTATTATTTTTAACAGGGAGAGAAAAATAAATACGTCCGTCCATCCCTCCATCTTTGCATACATATACGAGGTCAACGGAATCTTCGTCGAGTATGGCTATTACAAGTTGTCAAGACTTAATACCGAATTATGGTGTCAAACGATGACTGGGAATGATATTCTTAAAGGGTAGAAAAACCTTGCCCTTGATACTTCCCACCCTCTAAGAATGAGCAGTATATGGTAAAGAATTAAAAACCTTTCAACATCATTGGATGCCGTCAAGCTGTAGCTTTCTCATCTTTGTACGAGATGGATACCTTACCGAAGGCTAAAGGTGACAACCATATCCAGTCGTCTTATTCCGTGCCTAGACACCAAACCAGTCATTTCTAAATCTCTGCTCCTATCTTCAATTTGTCATTGGGCCTTTGGACGATTCGTCTGCCCTTTTAGAGGTCTTATTTTTAATGCTACTGTGTGCCTAGTGACTATGTTTATCACACGTTTTATCAAATTATATGCCAACATACGTAAAAAGAATTAGTATCAAGAAACGTACGAATAGCTCTTTTGAGTTTTTCATGTTCAAGGTGATACGGTTTAAAGTACTTCTTAGTGAAAAACTTTCCTCAAGTATGAACGATTTAGTCGCTAGATCGTTCATACTGGAGAAAAAAAACCTAGAGCACAATTTATCAAGTAATGATGATGACTTTAGCAACGTTATGCAATATTTATATGCAATGATTGCGACCATAACCCGTTGAAACAAACGTTCCCGTAGGATTACCGATGTTAAGCAACGTCGAGCCTAGTCAGTACTTAGAAGTGTGACAACTTGGAAATACCAAGTATTGTAAGCTTGAATGTGCGCGTTATGTTATGGATAACGCTTCGGATTTGTTAATCTGTGAGCTGAGTTCGAATTCCAGTTGGGTTCGTTATATTCACATGCACGCAAATACGCTTCATAAAGATATGAATCTAACTCTCCTCACCCAGTTACGGGTAATACTTGTACCACTAAACCATTATTATCTTACAAAAAATCTTACAATTTAAGAAAATCTTACACTTTGAAAATATTGTCTGTCATCTGAACTGGGTTCATAATCTCTAGAAGACAAATCAACAATATATATAAACAAAATAAACTATGAAATCTCCACAAATATTCTTAAATGCTTATGATTGATAACAGAAGCCATTGTTTTATACCAACGGCTTCCCATACTTTACACTTCTCGTTTCCACTCTCGCGTGGTTATGTGTGACGTCACGAGCTGCTGTGCAATTTTCGATTCCGCGTCTCGTATACACGAGATTGTCTTTGCTTGGAAATCATTCATGCAACAAAACAGACTATCATTATTTTTTGTCCGTGTATTATTTAATATATTGAAATGTAATTTTTCATCTTTGATAATGGCTTATGTAAGCCGAGAGATTAGATAGGATTTAAAAAAACATGTATCAACATGGTGTTTTTCTTTCATCTTTCTTTGATAATGTTATTAAGATTATCAGACAATATCAAAGGAATTCACTTAAAATAAATAAAAAAAAAACTTGTCTATATTATTTATTTATATATATATATATATATATCCTTCTTACATTTTGTGAGAGATAGCTCATAACCTGTCATGATCAGTAGTTTGAACAAGTCCAGTAGTGTCACTACCCTAAGTCCCGATGACTTGTGATTTTGTGCTAGCAAATCCATATGCAGCTTCCGTACAATTACATTTGTCAGATTTCGCTCACCCGGGGGACATGATATTCAGTCCTGTCCTGGCTATGACGATGAACTACATCAGGCAGCAAGGCCTCTGATCGGGAGGTTTTCAGAAGAATGGAACCACCTCTTAATTGTTGTTCCAGTTAATTCCTGACCTGGGTTGATAGAACCTGTTATCGGCCGAACTATGGTTCAATAGATAACACCCAGCCTTTTCTCACTAATATCCATCCTGCATACTAAGAAAAACAACATTGAATATTTCTCCGACATTTTATCTAGTGATCCTACTATGCATCTTACACGACAAAACTTAAAGAATTTTATGGAATGTCATCTGTCCTGTCCTCTCATCTCGACATCATTCGCATTTCAATCGCCTTGTCATGGCTTCGGTCTGGATTTTCTTTAAATATTTTCATGACAATTCTTCTAATGAGCCCTGTTCTATGGTACCTCAACCGAATTTATTTAAGCGTACAACTAAATTCGCAAGTAGGTTTCATCCATTTACTGCTGAAATAGCTAGATGTGGCCGTAGAGTTTTAACAGTTCCTTTTCTCGCACTTATCTCCTGTGGAATTCTAATCTGATTTCTTACTTCACTGATAACAGCGATCATCAAAATTTAAATGCAAACTTAATCGCCATTTTTGACGTCCTATCTTTTATTGTCTCCCATTAGCAGCATTATTTTCTAACAATATCCGTATTATCATTCCCTTTCACTGTTAGTAACGGATGGCATCTTAGTGGCATTATCGCCTTGTTTGGTTTGAATGATGAAAAATAAAAACAGAAAAACATACAATCAATATTTTCAGTTATATCTATATCACCGTGATGAAAACATTTCACAAAGATTGGAACGTCCGAATTCAACTACTTAACCATGAAATCATATGGACGCTGAAAGAGAAGAAATTTTATTAGTTAAATGGTATTTAACTGGTATAAGCAGTTACCTTAAACAAGAAAGAGATTATGTTGAGGAAAACCTAACAACAACACCTCAGAAGAAAGGGAATACTATTTTAAAGACGAAATTCTGTAGTCAAAATTTAATGGAAGGAAATACACGAGCAACATTTATCACAAGGTATTCAAACTGGACAAGAGTAACCTGAAACACAGGACACCAAATAATTTACAACGAATATGCATATAGACACAAGATTCAATGACAGTTGATTTGATGTCTGACGAAGACAGGGAGGAATATGATTAATTGTAACGACAAAATAATTCGATTGTGTTGCCAAAGGAATCTAAAAATACAAAGAACAGAGAAAGGAACGACTGCATAAGACAATAAATACATGAAATAAAACGAACAGAAGAATGAATAGGAATGCGTTTTGTATAATGACAAGAAGGTAAAGGTATAAATATCTGATGTATTAATTTAAGTACAAAAATCTCTGAAATCTTACTTATTATAAAACGCAGATTGTGTGTGTGTGTGTGTGTGTGTGTGTGTGTGTGTGTGTGTGTGTGTGTGTGTGTGTGTGTGTGTGCCTGTACGTTTATATATTGGATCGGATTTCCTACATTTTCAACTGATTTCAACAAAACTTCAAAGGACTGAGTAAAATTACCTTGCGGTTGTTCTGACAGCGCCAAAAATTGGAAAAAAACAATTGTTGTTGCACGAAATCAGTTTGAAAACACGATAAAACACGATTCAATCGCCAGAATGAAAGGTGGACAACTCATATCGAGTTATACTTATTATAAAACCCAGGTTGCTTGTGTGTGTGTGTGTGTGTGTGTGTGTGTGTGTGTGTGTGTGTGTGTGTGTGTGTGTGTGTGTGTGTTCGTTTATATATGGGATCGGATTTCCTACATTTTTCGAACGATTTCAACAAAACTTCACTTTTTTGGCAGGTAGTGTTTCTTATTGTCTTGCATACTTTTTTCTTTATTTTTACATTCAGAATGCTTTGAAAATTCCATTTACAAGACAATTGTTTATAATAAAAGTCTTTTCAATCGATAGATTCATAACGATTGAAAACAATGTTTTTGTTTGAGTTTGGGTTTGACTAATTCATAAAAAAAACAAAAAAAAACAAAAAAAAACTGATTAAGATATGCGTGTCCGTCAACCTTAAACAATAATTTTTGTCAATTTTATTTTTCAGTCTTTATGATGGTCGATACTTGATCTATATTTTACTGTTACATCCCCGGGCAACGCCGGGCTCTACTGCTAGTAGCATATATATATATATATATATATAGATGCAAACGATAATAAAATGGGTTGAGAAATTTGCACACACACACACACACACACACACACACACACACACACACGCATAAAATAAAATAAAAACTGACTGAGGCTAGTCAATGCAGGCTGTGCGGAAACAAATATGGAACTGAAAAATAAAATCCGAATGCAGCAAAGTACAAAAAATTGATATGAGGACGTGAATAGATTATGTAAAGCCTAGAATGGATAATACACAGGAGAAAAGCGAATGCGTTGTCTGTGGATGCAAAAATATATACATGAAATCCGAGTGAAAAATTATATAAACGCCAGGATGGACAGTACATAGGTGAAAAGCCAATATACAGTGGACAGGAAATAAAGTTGGGACAGTGAAGAAAGTAAAAATCAAATGTAGTAAATTTTAAAAAAAATGATATTAGAATAAATTAGGCAAGTATGTATAAGAGCACGAATGTAAGTCAAAGTAGATTGTGAGGAGGGGAAGACTGTTCATGTGTAACTAATTATAGAATGATACTATGAGAACTTAATTACACAAAGTTTTGGCGGTATAAATACAGGAAGAAAAAGTAATGTCGAATCTCTGAAACGATGGGACAAGAAAATAAATAAATCTTCACCATCATCCTCATCTTGCGGCCTCAGCCGAGATTGAACTCACTACACCTTTCCAGTATTCCTTATCTGTCATAGCTAATACTTTGATTGGTGTAGTTCGTAATCTTGTCAAATAGCTGAATTCTTGATGCTTCGCTAGAACCCAGTTTGTCCTGATATTTACCCATAGCTGGAGGGAGAAGAAGAGGATTCACACCTTTCCCAAGGGTATTAGCACGTAAGTGAATGTAATGGATTCGACTGGAATTCGAACTCGGCTCTCGGATTCCTCAATCCAAGCCGCTATCCATTACTCCACCGTGCCTCCTCTCTTCTTCACCACCCTTCTCATCCCCCACTACTATTCCTAATATTATTACTACTACTGCTACTATTTCTTATTCTTTTTCTTCCTCTTTCAGGAAGTGGTTGTACATGAGGGACGTGTCGTCTACGTAATTAAGACAGCCAGTGTCTACCCCGAATAAAAAAGAACAGAAGCTATATTTTCCTTGTGGCACAGAATGCTCCTAATTCAAAAAAATTATGAATGTTACTCTGATTATTAGACATAAAATGCAAAATATTTTATTTTTTGTAGATTTGCTACATAAAGGTCACAAGCTGCCTACCCTGGGTAATTACTGGCGTCATGTGTCTGGTGTATATTTGCTACATCTTCCTACCCTGTGTTTGTATTTTTACAATACCTTCTACATCCTGTTCTGACATATATTTACACTAGCTCATTACGTAGGTTACTCTATAGGTCGTTCGGCTCTTGTTGATATTCCAAGTTTTTCCATCCGCATTATGTCACAAGAGACTCCTACTGTATGATTCGGATTCTACGTATGTGACCTTTTTGTTTTCATTTTTCTTAAAGCGTTCTGCTTGCTCACATTCTCTGACCATTATCCTTCTCAGCATCCTTTTGTAGAACCACATCCCTATTGTGTCAAATATCTTCTTCAATCATGAAGAAGTTATCCAGGATTTATAGCCATTTAAAATTACAAGGAATGAAACAAATCCAAATCGGATAGATAAGCCACATGAGAAAAGTCAATATAAAACTGTGAGAAAACAAGTATATGACAATTTATTCGAACATAGCAAATAATTCCAGATATATTACTACAATTTACCTGATTTGCTATGGATTGATTGATCTTTTTAATGTTTATCAAACACTTTCTCGGTTACTTTAAGCCGAAATATATTTTGGATTTTAATAGTAATAAATCTTTTGCGAAGAAATATTTCATTATTTTTTAAGAA